GACTAAGAGCATCTGCCAGGGTGTTTTCACGTCCGGGTCGGTATCGAATGAGGAAGTAGAATCGGGAGAGGAATTCAGCCCACCGGGCTTGTCGTGCGTTCAGCTTCTTCGTTGTCATAAAGTATTCTAACGCTCGATGGTCTGTATAGATGTCAAAACGTTCTTGTAGCCGCAGTCCTTCCAGTTCGGCTCGCCATTCCTGTAGTGCGCGGATGATGGCTAGCATTTCCTTGTCATGTATCTCATAGTTGCGCTCAGCATTGGACATGCTCTTTGAATAGTAAGCGACAGGGTGCCAGAGATCCCCATGTTTCTGAGAGAGTACTCCAGCCACTACCCCGTCAGATGCATCAGTCTCTAGCTTCGTCTCTAGGTCAGGGTGGTAGTGTCGTAGTATGGGGGCATCTGTTAGTCGCTTTTTCAATTCTTCAAAGACTTGCTGACATTTATCAGTCCAGGCAAAAGACACATCCTTCCTCGTCAGGTGATTTAACGGTTTCGCAATGCGGCTATAGTCCTTGATGAACCTCCAGTAGAAGTTGCAGAACCCAAGGAATGACTGCACGCCGCGAACAGTAGTTGGCACTGCCCAGTTGCGGATTACAGCAGTCTTCTCTGGGTCAACTTCAATGCCATCTGTCGTTAGAATGAATCCGAGGTATTTCGTCCGAGTGACATGGAACTCGCACTTCTTGATGCTGGCCTGGAGACCTGCCGCACGCAGTCGTTCAAGCACCTTCTTGACATGAATCTCATGCTCAGCAGCGTTTCTCGAGTAAATGAGCAGGTCGTCCACGAAAGCAGTCACGAAATCGTCCAAGTAGTCCATGAGGGTATCATTGATGAAGCGCTGGAACGCCGCCGGTCCATTGGTGAGTCCAAAGGGAACCACATGATATTTGTACGTTCCATATCGTGTCCGAAAAGTGGTCAGATCCTCTGACTCCGGGTCGAGTCGAATTCTATGAAATCCTTGTCGTATATCCAGTTTTGTGAAGATCTTTGCACCACTGATCCTTTCCATCAGCTCATCAACCAGTGGGATGGGATATCGGTCCTTTCGGGTAATAGCATTCAACTTCCAGTAGTCAACACAGAGTCGCAGTCCACCTCCTGGCTTCCGTGCCATCAAGATGGGAGATGAAAAGGGTGCCGCGCTGGGTCCAATGAATCCCTTATTGAGGTTATCCACAATGTAGTCCCGTGCGGCCTCCAGTTCCTCTGCAGTCTGTTTGTACAAAGGGCTATAACCTACTTCTCTTTCCGCAGCCTTCCCATCTTCAAGTTTGATTCGGTAATCGTTCGTCCGTTGAGGGGGCAGCTCATCAGAGGCTGCCTTGGAGAAGACATCTGCATATTCCTGATACTGTTTGGGTAGTAGTTGTTGTACTAGTTCTTGCTCATCGTGATCCTCTTTCTGGCGATCCTTCTCGCGTTTCTCTTCAATGACACGGTCAATTTCAGACAGACTGGCAATGAAGACCTCAGTGTCCTTCTTCTGCAGGTGCCGTTGGAATGGTGCTGCTCCAATGGCTGCAATGTCAATTTGGACTGTCCGTTGGTTGGTCGTCTTCCTTTGGGGCTTCACATTGACAGCGATGGCGTTCATATCCTGACCCTGTAGGGCACATGACATCTTGGCCATGTCTGAACGCCGGTCTGATTGCTCTTTTCGAGATACCCGATAGCGTTCCCTTCGTTCTTCCTTTTCAATTCGTTGGTCACGTCGCTCCATGTCAGCCTGGTGGGCAGGGTCGGGCTTAGGGCGCTGCAGGATCTCCTTTGGAGCCTCCAAATACTGCTTGCTCTGGATGTCGTCCAAGTGGCACCGTTGTTCCGGCCAGACCAATTTTCTATGTTTCACGTTCAACCAGACATCATGGCTATCGAACCACTTCCGTCCGATGATCATGTCATGTTGGCCCAAGTCGGCAATCAGGAAGGGCTGGTTCAGGAATCGTCGTCCGCCAACAAGTAAGTGGCAAACAATAGCATCAGTGATGGTTGAACCAGCTCGTCCGTCGTACCCCTTGGTACCAATTGGTGTGCTAAGTCGTCTGGTGGGGATTCCAAAGAATTTCGCCAACTCTGTCGCTCGCTGTGTGTCCATGAAGAGGTAACCATTTGCTCCTGTGTCAGCCAAGGTAGTCAGGGGGATACTAATTCCATTGTAAGCTATCTGACTATTCACATTGAATCCTTGTCCTCCAATAAGTTGACTAAGATCCAACTCGCCTAGGTCGACACCATCTAGCCCCAGGTCGGAGACTTTCTCCTGGGCTAGACATTTCCCGCTTCATCATCCTGTTCACTCTCAGGCGTCCTCTGCTCAAGCTCCTTCAGTTCTGGAGATGCCGTTCTGGTGGGACAATCCCGTGCAAGGTGGCCTTGTTCCTGGCAGTGGAAACAGCGGCCTTCCTTCATCATTTGATCACGCCCAGCACCATCTGCACGCGGAGCGGTGTTGCTAGTGCTTTGAGATAGAGCTGGTTCTTTCTTGACAGTGGTTCCAGATCGGTTGGCTCCCTTGTTAGTATCCTTGTTGGGAGTGAACGTTCGATTCTTCTGGGTCCGGTGGTTGATAACTTCAAGACGGCTTGCAGTCTGCGAGACGGCACTTGAGAACTCCTGGAAGGTGCTCTCATGGATACTACTGAAAATACACAGCTCCTGGAGCTTGGTCGTCAATTTGTTGTAGAGCTCGTCCTTCCAGTCATCCTCAGCAACACCTGCCTCAGCTGCAAGATAGAGGAATTCAGACAGAAAGTCATGGAACTTGTCGCT